AAAACAGCAAAACAACAACAACCCAACAAAAAAGCCAACAAAACGACAATAAAACAACAAACAAACAAAAGACTCAGAGGTTTACTATGAAAGCAAAAACTCTGTTTGCCCCAAAATTTCCGAGCACCTGATTCTTTCTCTTCAAGACACAAAATCATATTATGATGTAAATAAAGAGTCGAGTGTAAGCTGTTGGCATGACTTACATTTGACCACATATTTCCACAGACAGGTAGGTGTCAAACCACAGTTGGACGAAGGGCAGTTCTTCACAACCCGGCACTCCTGGGAGCTGAGACAGTCATCTGCTCTTTCCGCACACAGTTCGCTCAACAGAGGTGGAGGAAGGGCCTTTGGGAAAGACAGTTGTAAGAAAAGTATTACTCATCATCATCATTATCATTATCATCATCATCATCATCATCATCATCATCACCATCATCATCATCATCATCATCATCATCATCATCATCATCATCATCATCATGATCATCATCATCATCAAGGCGTCATTTGCTTGTATTATACGAGAAACTTTCAATTTCAAATGTGACATCGTTTTCAAGTTCAAATACTCACATTGTAACTTAAAATATAAAGCCTTAAACTCTTGTTGGTATAAACTCCCAACGTATCAGTCCCGACTGCACCCTATTGGTGCTTAGGCTGAAAGACAATCACAAAAGTAGATCTAGAGATTTAAACCGATGAAAAAGTACCATCCCAACATAAAAAGAATAGTAGAGAAAACAGAAAAAGCCTATAAGAATCTTATAAAAGAGTTAGGGATTACAAATGCTATTGAGCCTGCCCGCTTAACCGTGCTAAAGTGGAAGCAGCCTTCAAGGATAATCTGGCGCCAGCGTGTTCAACAAGTAAGAATATTGAAAATTTTCGTGCAAATTTTCAGAAAACAAAACTTTTTGTGGGCTTTTCTCTAGATTTGCCGTTTTTCTTCTCCGCTTTTTTATGTGTTGTCACGTTTGAGCTTAAATATTTAAGATATATAATAACATCTGATGCCCCCAATGTTCCAAAGAAATAAAACGAAGAATTGCAATGGCTAAGGTTGGTTTCAATAAAACGAGCCCGTTCCTGAACAATAGAAACATCTCAATGGCTATAATTATAAAAGTGCCGAAATGCTATGTATGATCAACCCTTTTAATATGGCTATGAATGCTGGATAATCACTGAAGACAGTGAAAATAAAGCAGAGGCAACATAAATGTAGTTTTTTAGGATACTGTGGAGAATATCGAGGATGGCAAAGAAATCAAATGAGGTAGTACTTGATGAAGCCCACGTGGAACGCTCACTGTTAAAAACATTCAGGAAAAGACGAAAGCAGCTTTTGGGACAGCTGGATAGACATAAAAGTCTTGAACATCTAGCTCTTACTGGCAAAATTGAAGGCAAACGAGGCAGGGGCAGGGCAGCTTATTTAAAGAACCTAAACAGATGATAAGGGCGAAACGTCAGGTTAACGTAGCCTCTTTAAGAGCATTCGAGCAAAGGAGTGAATGGGGAACCATGATCACCGATGTCTGCCACAGATCTGGCACTTGATGGTGATGACATTTGAGTTTGTTAAGTGGCATTTGAGTCGCGACTTTGTTTTATTTGACGTTTATAATATGTTGACATTTGATCGTCCTCTGTCTGTATATGAGGTTACTATGTGGTCTGTAAAGCTGAAATGTGACATTTGAAGTTACGATAAGGTAGCATTTGAAAATACTAAGCGTGTATTTGATTGAAAAAAGCCCAACGATATTCTAATATAAATGATACTAATCTACGCTTTTACTTTCACATAATACTAAGTATTCTAAAACGTTGTTATAAACATATTTATTTTCTTAAATTAGTGTTCACTGCACCAATGTAATAAAAAGAAGAAAAAAAATTTTTAAACATAGAAAGTAAAATCGGCATTTTTCACCGACCATGTGACAGATTTTAAAATATTCTTTGGGTAAAAAGGAAAAAGCAAATACTGGTTTGTGGTTTTCAAGGATCTCAATACCACAATTTGATCATTGTCACTAAAGAAAAACGGCAGGTTTAACTGTATAATTGTTGCCATGATCTTTAAAGTCAATAGAAAAACAGCCTTGAACACACCAAAATGTTGTATTTATAACATGGCCTACATTTTAGAGTACTTAGTATTACTTAGGTTAAAGGAAAAGCGTTACGACTCTAAAGACCTTTTGGTATATACAATCAAAAAGGGATACCTTTTATTATTTTTATTCTTGATCAGTCAGCCTATGTAATTTCACAACGAATTGTGATAAAGGCATTGTGTAGAACCCGTTGTGACAAATGAAAGTCAAATGTTTAGCCTGCCTGCTCCCCCGTTATTAGAAATGAAGATTAAACAGAAAAATAATTTTAGTTTGTTGCGAAATTATCACACTTTCAACTTTGATGCAATATCGCAGAGTGCTCTTATCTTCATAGTTGATTCTATCTTCACAGCTGTCACTCAGAACAGAAAACTTGAATGTGTCAGCAAAGTTATTGTTTGATAACACACACATTCTGTTCTCTGATGCAATAAATCGTGGCTTTCATTCTACGTTAGTAACGGAGTGAAAGAGGATTAGAACGATATTTTCGGATTAAAACCTACTAAAGGTAACAATCTTCATATTTTTCCTTTTTGAACGGAGAGGATATTATTTCAGCTTTTGGGAATTTCTTCTTTTTCTTTCTTTTTTTTCTTTTCCTTTTGGCCATTGCAGCAGTTTAATATCTGCAGAGATGTGCGTAGTAGTTCAGATGTTTTGCAAATTTTGGGTTTCTGAAAAGGGGATTTGCTGTTATGTTGTCGTGGTGCACTACAAAACAAGCAAGTAAACCCTTGACCAAGATCTGTTGCCTTACAGTCGGAAGTATTGATAAATCTTTCTTATCACAAGGCCTTTCTTGAGTGAAAAATCGTTTGAACGAAACTTGTTTTGAATAGAAATAATTCCTTTCACTGCACAGAAAGAGAATCTTGACTCTCACGAGGATTTTCAGTGTAAAGATTTTATTTTTTAAAGATGGGAACTAGGTTTGAGAGCGACGTATATATTGCTGCAGTATGTTTACCTTCTCGCACCCATGTGTGCAGTGCTAAATCTCAGTTCTGTATCGACTCAAATGTGTAACATGAATTTGCACGTGGGCTTGAAATACTATTGAGCTTCAGGAACATACTTTGCTTTTAGAAAATGAAACTTTTTCTAATTTCGTCTCTCTGTGGGTGTGTGTGTGTCTCTCTCTCTCTCTCTCTCTCTCTCT